CACAAGACGCGTTTAACTTCGGCATTTTGCAATATAAAACCCGTCATGTGGAATTTTTTTATATTTTTCGAATTATAAGGTTTACTTTTTCCACGGTATCTCTTATATAAAAAGAATAAAATTCATTCCTTTATCGGAGTTGCATAATAATTCAACCTACTGATTTTTTATTTTTTCTCTGTCTATTGATTCGCTAAAATGAAGTCTTTAATGTCGCGTAATGACATTTACTAGATGGCAGTGTTGCGAATGGTTATATAAGCTAGGTTTCGCATTTAGTTATTCAGATCTTTCGCAGATATCGTAGTAAACAAGATGGTATTACGTGTATTTAGCATTCTCAGTGCCGTAGTGCTTGGATTATGTGTGGCGGAAAAACTCGACCTTCGTAAGTCCTTTTTGACAACTCTCGTTGTATTTTCATAATATCTTACTATGTCGCCTAAGAAAAAGGGAGAAATGGCAACTGTTTATTTTTGGAAGAGCTGTATTATCTTTATTCGAAAATAATTTATTTTTTTGCTTCTATTTCCACGCAGCTGTGCCAACCTGCAAACGCGATGCAGCCAACTACACTTCCTGTTTAAAACGCGCAATTATAGAAGTATGGCCACTTTTTGTAAAAGGTAAAATGTAGATTTTCGATCATTTTAATACGTATTTTTTCCGCGAAGTTTTCCACGTTATTCTACATATTGCTTGCACAATATTGTAAGTGTACGTTTTAGAGTTATATATGTAATTATTACTTTCTTAATATAATAATTTCGTATACATTTTTATGATTATGTAAATCAATGAAATTTGATCTAACTTAAGCTGACTGTAAAATTCAAAAATTTTCTTGTCCAACCAGTCATTAAAGTCTCGAAATTAAAATTCATATAGATAATAATAGGAATGTTCTAATAGGTCTTCCTGCTGAATTTGATTTTCCACCTTTGGACCCGTCATTTTATGAATATCAGCACATGGTACTAGATCGTGGCGATCTACACGCAGAAGTAACTGCGTCAAATGTAACTATCGAGGGTTTCGAAGCAACACATTTTGTGGCTGTGAGACCGCACTATACCGATGACATTTTTCGTTTGGAAATCGATGTACGCATACCAAGACTATTTATTGACGGTATCTGCGAAGCCCATGGGAGTATAGGTTCGTTCCGAATGAGCGGCAAAGGTACGAAAATAAATCCTTTACAATTAACACGTCCTGTGTTGAACCGCTACTTTCAATTCATGCCGCGTTATCAATTCATATTGCCGAAAATGGTACACAATGAGCTTGATAAATGATATAAATAAATAAACATAATAACAGAATACGAATGGATAATAAGACAAATCACTTTACTTTGTCTCTTAATGACAAAGATATCATTTAATGCGAGATCGAGTTTAGCATGTCTTGAAAACGGCATATGTGATACGGAATATGTTAAATTGGATTCAGTCGTAAGCAGTTATTGTCAAGTATATCGCTGTTCGCAGCGAAAAAATATAATTATTTGTGTAGATTGAATATGTTATGCTAATTGCGATATTTGCACAAAGATATTTAAATCTATACTAAAATATAATTACGATTTAGGGTTATTCTATAAACAAAATTTTATTATAATGTAATTTACATGTAGATAATATAGATATTGATAATTATACTTCTTCTTTAATAATATAATTATACTTAATTCTTATAATTATATAATTATACTTCTTCTTTAATAATTTTATAATTACCGGTCTTTTACTTACTAATATTATTGTTGAAAGATATTAGAATATTGTATTAATATTATTGTTATACCATTTGTACGATAGGACCTTTTAACATGACTGTGGAAGGTGCCAAAGTAACGTGGGATATCACAGGGTCTGTAATAGATGATACGTGGATAATAAATCATTTTAATTTGTTACCGACAATTAAAAAACTAAAGGCGCACCTGAATAATTTGTTTGATGGGAATCAAGAAATCAGTAAGTTATTTTTCAAGTATAATTCCAGCTTTTAAATAACTTTTATGACGCAGTAATAAAATAACTTGAACAATAACACTTCGTTTGATATAATTTTTTATTAAGCTTGGTCTAGAGTACAAAAAGAGTATCGATCATGTCCACAAGATGTTTTATACGCATTAAGGTCATATTACGTGTGTATATTTTTTGTATGTAGAATGACTTTTAAACGAAACCTTTTAAATTATTCATCTCGTTATCACTAATTAGCATTTGAAGTGACTATATTCAAGGAAAACGTGTGCGTCATATGTTAAAGACTGGTTTACGCTATACGTTAAAGACTGGTTTATACTATACGGGTATATTTGAACATTTCTCATTTGAACATTTCTCATTAAAATTTATATAATAACAACTGCGGAGAAATAACGAAATTTGATTTAATCAGGAGAATAACTAATAAAATTTGAGATAAGAATTTGAGATTATTACATGATCATTTACAAATACGCACGCGCGCGCTAATACATTATAAAATAGATAAACTAATGAATCAATCAAAAGAAATTTATTTATTATTGTATATTTAATCTTTAGGCACGTAGTTGTTTTGACCATGGTGAATTTCTTCCCGTCATATTGGATTTATTTAGCACTCGAACGAAGCGTCGAATGGGGAGAGACAAGCATTCTTTTTAATAGATATCTTGATGCCGAGTAAAATATCTATTCTTTTAAATCCCTATTCCACACATAAAGTAGATATAATAAATAGGCTGGATATAAACAGAATAGGAAGAATTTTAACTATGACGAAACAAATCGCAGACTTTGGAAGTCAAAAATTCAAACAAAAATTCTTTACAAAGTAAATCTCTATCGATTATTTCTCTTTCGCGTATTTTTCTTTAGTCATTTATATTGCGCTTTTATGTACCGATTTGTTTTTCTTTCCTTCAGGAATATATCATGACACAGAAATTTCCATTTGTAGATGAACTCGCTACGATGTTTGTGAATGAGTACTGGCCACCAATATATCGATGGGGACTGCCAGCAGCGGTTGAGAATTGGGACAAAACTTATAGCGATTTACTCACTCGCTTATTCTCGAAGCTTTCCTTCTCGAAAGTATTCCCTTAAGATTCGAATATTTAATTGAACGTTAAGAAACGTTACGAAAAACTGAATCCGCGCACGAAACTAAAAATACATCTGATATATACACAAGAGTTACGTTGAGAATTAGAAGGTAGGTTCAATTTATATTAATTATACAACTGATAATTCTTAAATACTTTGCATATCAGAGTTCTTTATCATACGGAACGTTCACCTTTTTAAAAAAGAAAAATGAGAAAAAGAGAAACTATAACAAAAGATTGCGAAGTAATTTATAAAAAATTATCTGTATTTTTTCATTCTAAGCAGTTTTGAACTACTAGAATTTAAAGTTTTTGCGAATTATAATCTTCTAAGTTGAAGTTTTCACATCTGAGAAATCTGCAAATGGTTGTCTTCGTCTTGTTCAATGATTGGACGAATGAAAATTTTACGTTACGTCGCCACATTTTACATTTATTATGTATATATAAGTTTGATTTAATAGAATTTCCGTTTATTTAATAGTTAGAAACATATATGTTACGCTTCATCCGTAAAGAGCGCAAAGTGCATTTCTTGTTATTAAAATATATAAAAGAATTATAATCGGACATATACAGTTTATTTATTTCAGATTGCATTTTGTATATGTGATTCGTAAATCTTTTTTTCACACTATTCGTTCAATAGTAGCGAAAGTAACAATACTAGCGGAACCTTGGCACGTCTCATTCGTTAATCCGTAACATTAATTTTCTAAATGGCCTCTTTGACAATCTTCCGGGTTTCTTCTTGGAGGTCTTTGATTTACAACTTCAACAGCACACGGACTTCAATTACGTAAATTCGTTTCGCCAACTCTTTCCTTTAATTTCGCGAAATGGTCTCACCTCGAAGATAAGGATTAAGAATATTGATCCTGCAACTTCAGTCTGCGGAACAGTGCCGCGTCCGATGTAGTGTTTGTCCTACCTGCTTGCACGCCTGCGTTATTTTCTTTTTCCTCGTAAGGATTAATTGGTCGCAAACACGGAGATCGCGCTGGAACTTTGCTCGTTCAATTTACGCTCGAAATCCGACGATATATGTGGCCGCGGACAGTCTTGCAATTTTCAGCCACGACAGGAAATCAAGATCTCTTTCGGGTGTAGCTCCTCGTTCCGTACGCGCGGACATTTTTGCCGGCGCGTGTATCTCCCGGTAGAAGCGAGCCTGGAAGAATGAGGTCCACGAGGACGCAGAGAGGACGGCGCGGCGAGACCGAGGGAGAAATGAAGAGGCGCGGAATTTGTTGCGGACGGAAGTCAGCAGGAGGAGAAAGTTGAAATACGCGCCGAGAGCGCGAGAAGTTGTCAAACTTTTGCATCAGGGAATTCTTTCCGGGGCGCCCCCGGAATATCCGTAATAAAGTTATAAACTTTTAGGAAGGGCCAACGCCACCTTCGTTATATAACTGCTGCTCGCTCTCAGTTTCCTCTCTCAGAGCACAACGACCGAACTAAATTTCGTCCCGTTCGAGTACCGGTGACTGAATCTATGACCCGGTGTGCAACTTTCCGCGGCTCTCCCTTCCCTCTCATTTTTTCCCCGTTTTTTTAGTTATTTTTGCGCGAACTAGTGCGTGTCCAGTTAAATCACGCGATGAATTCGTCGGTACCGAGGTAAATAACCTACCAATTCGCGAAACGATGTACGCACGTACGTAAGCGGAAGAGCGGTGCGATAATGGGCTAGGTCTGAATTAGCGTCACACGGCTTGTTTTTTAGCGCGCGACAGTTCCACCGTTTTTATCCGATCGAATCCAATTGGACGACATTTCACGCTTTCGAGCGGGTTATTTCAATCGACAAATTGAATTCGGCCTATAGATTAGAATGAACTAGACGCACCAGCGATAAACAATGCTATACTTTTATTAATTACATGCCTGTGCAAGAAAACATATAATTTTCTGTGAAAATGGATAAATACACGATGATACTAGTAATAAAGGATACCTTACTAGGATACTACACTGTACGACGGCGATTTATACACACGTTCTCGATAACGTATTTCTCTTATGGTGTCTCTTGATATTTCATTTAAAAAGTCACAAGAATACTGATGAGATCCTTCATTAACCCATTTGCATCCTTAAGCGGAATATTTCTCGCATGACGATCGTATCCAATCACCGAGCGCGGAATATTCCGCATATGACACAGTTCACGTTTTGTTGTTAATCTGTGAGCATTTGAGCTATTTTCATTGCATTCTTAAATAAACCATGTTAAATAAACTCTACGAACTATTCGGAAGTCATTTACTGTAGAAGTTGACTGTGTACTGTAGAACGAGTGTACTGTAGAAGTTAACGAAAATAATAAATTGCCGATATACAGCTGCACGCGGTGATACGGGCCAACCGTCAGTTGAACGCCGCTGATATCTGAACACAGAAACTTAAGTAGAGTCATGATGCAAATGGGTTAAATTGTGTGCCCGTCGGCGGCGTGAGGGACAGTGGAGGGGGGTCATGTGGAAGGCAGTAATAACGTTGGCGCGCCACGTGCTTCTTACTCTCAGCAGCAATCACGATGAGCGAGAAAGACCCCGCAGCACAACGTATTATTATTAAGTTTCTCGTTAACGAAAATGTAAATGCTGCTGAAATTCGGCGCCGTTTACTCCCACAGTTCGGGGAAAGAACCTTTTCATGGGCTTGAGTGAAGCAGTGGTGTAATGAATTTAAGAAAGGACGGAAGAGTGTTGAAAACATTGCCCACCAGCATCACAGCGCAGAACACCGAGGCTGTTCGAGAACTCATCGAAGGCGATCGGCACTTAACTGTTCTTGAAATCTTTCAGGAACTTCAGTTCGAGCTGTTTATCGGTCAAAAAGGCCCGGCATTTCGATTAGAAGTGTTTTCAAGTAGAAGTTGCTTCTCCATGATAACGCCAGACCCCACACCGCAGCAGTAACACAACAAAAATTGGCCAATATGCACTGGGTTGTCCTAGAACATCCACCCTACAGCCCAGACCTGTCATTGTGCGACTTCCATATGTTTGGACCATTCAAGGAAGCCCTTGGTGGACAGCGCTTCACAACGAACGAGGAGGTGCAGCAGTTCGTGTGCAATTGATTTGATACAGATCCGCGAATTTTTATGATTCCGGGATTAAAAAATTACCAGACCGTTGCAGGAAGTGTATAGATAAGATGGGGGACTATGTAGAAAAATAAGAAAAATGTAAATTAGAATTAATTTTGAAAAATATTTGGTTTTTTTGCAAAAAGCTCGCTTATATTTGATTCACCCTCGTATTTCATGAGTGTAATACGAATGATTAGACACATTGTAAAAATATTAACGACGTACGCAAAGCAACCCGTTTATTAGAAGCAACATCGTACTAAAATACTCGTCGATTCCGCAGTAAATACCGAGATTAACATTTCCCAGCTAATGAAGACGTTTCATGTACAGCTGCCGAGGCAGACGTTCAATTCGCGTGCGCACAGTAATCAGCTTTTTGAGCGCGATTTAGGTACCTGGTAATTATTCAATTTCGCAACACGACCGAAAGCCGCACTCCCGAAAATCCACACCGCGATTTTATCGTCCCTATTTTACTAAATCACTACATCAGCGTGGTTGTGCTTATACGATCTATGTATATAATATTGCGCAGCTCACAATCTCAATTTGAATAACATATCACCGAGATGAGAGAGAAACAAAATTCTTCATATTCAAATGCCTGGCAGTGCTGTAATAATTTTTACACGAAAAATATTTAAAATTTGTTCGTTTGAAGAAAAGTTGCCTGAAATGCACATTCAAGAAAAAGTTCGAAGTATGCACGCGAAATCACTGAGAGTTCCTTTTTAGATTTATAAAATCTACCTATATGTAAGTATGAATGTGCGTGTTTGTGTATGCGTATGCGTTTAGCGTGTTTGTTCGGAGATATAAATTTTCGACTGGAAGTTAACGCGTTATCATAAACTTTTATGCGCAACCTCATGACTTCGCGCTTTATAGGCCCGAAATGCTTGAAAAGAGCGGCAGTTTTGGTAGAAATCACATAGTGCCTGACGGCCATGTGCCGAAACTGGTATATACACTATATACACACACGAGGTTACAAATTTCCGCGCGAACAGCAACCCACCGCCATCAATTTTCACGGGCGGCTGGGCGACTTCAAATTTTAAGGTTCTCCGAATGACTTGTCGTCAGCAAAAAACCCGCGCGATTCGATTCGTCGGTCCAGCTCCGCGAAATTACTAGTCATGTACGTATTTTTACATACACAAGCACATTTAAACGAAGTAAATGTGTGTTTAAACTTATATCAACCAGATGTAATTTGCTTTTAAAAAGAGTTTGAAAGGCACGATTGAAGGCACGTTACATTCGACAAGCGGAGCGCGAGGGTTGATAAGAACTGACGGCAACCGTCAAGTTCTTCCACGCAAGTGAATAAATCACAAATACGGGACTACCTAGAGAGAGGNCTTGCATTAATGCCCGCTACGCGTGACGAGACGCAATTAATCCGCAATAAGAGCGATTAATTTAGAGTGATTTTCTCCACACAGCAAGCGCTCCGAATTACACTATGTTGGCGTGATCCATCACGTTGCACGCGCAAAGTAAAATAAGGAAAGTAAAAGAGAAATACGAAAAAGACAGGAGAGAAGTAGGGAGAAAGGATAAAAAAGAGAGAGAGAGAGAGAGAGAGAGAGCAAGAGAGAGAGAGAGAAAGCGAAGACTCCATATTTTCCTTCATCGGACACAGTGAACCGAAATGCAGAGGTATGCACGCGGGCGAGAACATCGATCGTGTGTCTTCGCCCGGCGAAGTCGGTAGACACGTGAATCTCAATTTGCCGGCTGGTCCCCGCGGACACACGGGTGCCTCCACGTGTTCGTCGACATTTACATAAGGCACGGACGAGGCGATACGCGATTCCATTCCGTAGCGACTCGATAGTTACCTATCCACTTTTCAAAGGATTAACCCGATGGCACGGAGCAATCAATACCTACGTGTGTGTATTCACTAAAAACGCTTAACTCTCATGCATAATTTTTAACTTTCGGATGCAGATGTTAAACTCTCATGCTCGTGTTGCTGATGATGCGGCATTTATTTGCCGAAATTTATATGGATAAAAAGATATAAATATAAGTAAATTATATTAAATTAATTTGGACTCTCTTCAAGGCCCTTCGAAGCTATTGAAACGATAAAGCGGCGGACTTAATTAATTAATAATTAATAATTAATTAATTATCAAGATTTCCGATGATACGCTTTGAAACGATAAAGCGGCGGACTTAATTAATTAATAATTAATAATTAATTAATTATCAAGATTTCCAATGATACGCGTCGTAAGGATCGCACGGTCATTGATAATATTCAGTTAAACTTTCGGCAAGGGAACATCGATCACGATTACGGCGAGGAATTACAAATCGAGAAAGAGACGAGGGCGTACACGTTACATGTAACATTTCTCCGATCTTCGTTTCCACGAATAACATCAATTGCTCTCACTCCGAAGTATCCAACTGATCACTGACCTAATCCTCTTCGATTTCTCTGCGATCG